TTCGTTTTTTCTCTTTGCCTCTCCCCATGACCAGGGCAGCCCAACTTTAACCATGCACATAAACACAGCACCCTAGAAAGGGACGACAAGATGGAACAAACATTGTATGGGGCAGACTTCCCCATTAACCTGGACCACTCGCTTCCGAACTGTTACGTGAGAAACAATATTCTATTCTATTGGTTTGCTGATCTTTGAATGTCTCAGTTACAGCAGTTTAAATTGTAGGATGGGCCATCCACTGAATAAATATGTACTTGCATCAGGAACTAAAAACAATTCTTCTGATCATTGTTTCATCCGAGTCATTTTTTTCTCCCTCATTCTTTTATCCCTAATTCCTTACCTCGCAAGTTTCAGTCCAATGCTAGGAAACAACATTTAGGCACTGAACTCAGAGCCAGAGCAAAACTGGTGTGCATGTAGCTAGAGAATATTCCAGAGTGAGTAACTTGAAAACAGTTGGTGAAGACCTAGGGCCATTGTCTTGGAGCAGCGAGAAGCAAGGTGTCTGAAGTTGACTATCTTGGTCAGGGAGTGTTGGGCTGGTTCTGAGGGCTGGAGGCAAGGGGACACTTCAAGAGCCTAAAAGAGGCAATGAAAAAGCAAGTTAGGGGTACCTGGGTGGTTCAGTTGATTCAGGGTCTGACTCTTGATTTCAACTCAGGTCTTGATTTCAAGTCGTGAGACGGAGCCCCACATCTCACTCCATGCTCAGTGGGGAGTCTGCTTGAGGTTCTCTCTCTCCCTCTGCTCCTCCCTCTGCTTGCACACTCATGCACACACACGCTCTGTCTCTCTCTCAAATAAATAAATAAATAAATAAATAAATAAATAAATAAATCTTTAAAAAAAGAGAGAGAGAAAGAGAAGAGACTGGTGTGCTGAATAAAGAAAAAGGAGAATTTGGTCAAAAACAGTGGTTTTAAAAATTTCTCTGGAAATACTATACTTGAGTAAGTCATTCTAAGTCCTCAATAAGTCTTAGATCATGATTTCTAATTCCTCTGCCTTCCTGAATCTGGATGTTAGCCCCAGCTGGTTCTCTCAGGCCACATGTCACCTTTACAAATATCTCTTATGTCCTTATCTTGCAAAAATGGCATGGATACTCTCTGCAGTAGAGTCACATGGTGTTAATGGTGTGTGTGTGTGGGGGGGATATTTATTAAAAACACTTATAAGTAGGGAAGTAACAAAGTGCACATGACTTTCTGAGCCTTCATGATCTCCCCAAGAGGGGTACTTGGGCAGGGTATTGGTTCGCCAGGGCCAAATGCAGAAAGGGTTCTGCCTTTGGTGCTTCCTGGTGGAGGAGGCGGCCTTGTTGGGGAGGTTGGGCATCTAGCCTCAGCCTGTCCTCCCACTGAGCTAACTCAGACCTGTTGAGCTGGATCTCTGCTAGGCTACCGAGAGAGGTAGGAAATGCATATTTGAGGCCATCTGGATTTGTTCTCTTTGGTTAAGTCCAGGGTCCTCTAAATAAGAAGGAAATGCATTTTCCAATATGAGCATCAAAGAGTCATTTAACAGACCCTTCCATGCCTTGTTGGCCTGGAAAATTTTATGTACTCAATCCCAGAATCTTTCCCTTTTGCCACTTTGTTTCCTCAGGTGGGCGAGTCACTACCAAGTAAGTGAGTAATCATTCTGTGCTTGCACTGACTTCTGGAGACGTCATATATTCTGTCTTTATTTCTAGATGTTGAGTTATTTTCAACATCTACTTACTGACTGTTGTTAAAAGACAATTTATATAAGAAGAGTTAACACAACTCTAAAAATGAACACATGTCAAAGTTTTTATTTATCTCATTAATTAGCAAGAGGACTGGTAAGATGTTACAACTAGTTCATATGAGGATTTGATTTATAGAGATTTATATTTCTTATTGGACAAAAGGAATAGTTTGCATAACTATGGACAGAAAAAATGTATTACTCTCAGCTTTTTACATGTTAGTATCTACTATTTTTTAAAGATTTATTATTCATTCATTTATGATAGACATAGACAGAGAGAGGCAGAGACACAGACAGAGAGAGAAGCAGGCTCCATGCCGGGAGCCCAATGCAGGACTCGATCCCGGGTCTCCAGGATCACACCCTGGGCCAAAGGCAGGCACTAAACCGCTGAGCCACCCAGAGATCCCCTGTTAATATCTACTTGCACAGAGTTGTAAAATAGCCTGGTCAAAGACAATCAAAGGCCACATCCCTATAGGGTGAGATAATCCCTAGAAGGTCCACTGGACAAGGTTTAGCATTTGATTACAAGGACACCCAATAATCTCTTTTGCCAATTTCAATATCTGACAGTTTCTCCCGGCAGACTTCCTTCCCCTTTGGTCATATACAATTTCAAGATCATTCTTGGTCATTAAAAAAGCTGGTTTCAGGACGCCTGGGTGGCTCAGTGGTTAAGCATCTGCCTTCAGCCCAGGTTGTGATCCTGGAGTCCTGGAATCGAGTCCCACATCAGGCTCCCTGCATGGAGCCTGTATCTCCTTCTGCCTGTCTCTGCCTCTGTGTGTGTGTGTGTGTCTCATGAATAAATAAATAAAATCTTAAAAAAAAAAAAAGAGCTGGTCTCATTAGGTTTAGCTGATTTACTTAGGTGCATTGAGATTGTTGATTGATCAGAGAGGCCTCCTTCAGCTTGCTTTGTGAAATCTAGAGTCATACAGTATTAAATAGTTCCAAATTAACTTCTGTCTGGGAGTGTTCATAAAGAATCTGAGACTGAACTCTGAAAAGCGCATCTTATTTGCTGTCCCAAGACACTCCACCAGACTTTAGCTACCTTTACATTTGGGCAAATTCTTCTCTTCTTGAGATTTCAAAAAACATAACAATGGCTTCCCTTCCTTACTACCTATCAGGCTGGACTCTATAAACTGTTTCAGGCCAGGTTTCTTGGGAAGACTTTGTAAGCATTGACTCCATAATTACAGCCAAATTTTGTTCTTTATTCCTTTTAAGTTTTTAAAAAAGATTTTATTTTTGGGTAATCTCTACATCCAATGTGGGGCTCGAACTCACAACCCCAAGATCAAGAGTTGCATGGTCTACCTACTGAGCCAGCCAGGGGGTCCCCAAAGTTTGTTCTTTAAAATGGCTTGTCACATCCAGTCAAATCAACTATAATATTCCAGGCAAGGCCTTGATGGCATAATGGAGTCTTCTAATTATATCCTGGTAAAAAGGAGGACAGATTCTTATTGAACACAAACAATTATATTGAAAAGTATAGAGACTAGGTAAGTTTCTGAATTCTGAAGAGGGTAATTAATTGTGTCAGTGAGAACCATATATCATTTTTAAATGTTTCATTTTAGGTTTACAACAGCACAATTTATAAAATTATTGTGAATTGCATATAGCATAAGAAGAAAAAGGAAAGGCTTCCTTGTACATCCAGTAAATAGGACATTAAAACAAATCAACAGTAATCCAAATAATCTCAATAAAATTTCCTGTACCAATTTGTTCAGTCTTATGTAATTAATTCTCATTCTGATGGATGCTGGGTTAGCAGTTTCATGAAACTGTCTGCTTCTCAACTATAAAGAGTCCTGGAAATCCTAAGTTCCACCATTATGCTCCGAAAGTTATCCATGTCAGCTGAGACTTAAAGAGTCAATAGATTGACTGACCTATCGATTATAGCAGTCCTTGAACAAGCATTAGAGAAAAATAAAAACTATCTATGATGTTTAAAATATTCAACTGAGTAAATTTTGAAGATTTTATTGGCTTTGTTCAATGATTCGTGAATCAGGCAACATCCAATCTAGCAGATAGAAAGGAGCTCTGAGGACCTATATAAAATAAAAGATTTGTATAAGCAGAAGGGGTGGGACAAGGAAGTTATACTAGACAAAAAAGTAGACTGGTTAGGGGTGCCCGGGTGGCTTAGTGGTTAAGCATCTGCCTTCTGCTCAGGTCATGATCCCAGGGTTCAGGGAGGGGGATCAGTGGGGAGCCTGCTCCTCCTTCCCACTTGTGCTCTCTCTTGCTATCTCTCTGTCTCTCAAACAAATAAATAAACAAAATCTTAAAAAAAAAAAGTAGACTGGTTATTGCAACATTACTTTCCTTTAGGGGATGGTAAGGTCTCTATTAGGCAGATTATTAACTAGTGCTAATTAGGTGACTTCTGATTGACTGGTTTAAGATTCCATTTCTAGGAGGGTTGAAACTAAGTCTTGGTTTGGTGACATGGAACTTAGCATAAGTGACTCCATTGGACCCATTGCTCTTAACATTAGATAATACAGGCTTAATGGCTATTGCTAATTTATTATTGGTATTTTTTAAACATGAAAAGTCTGATGAAGTTCATAATACAAATAATACAGCTAATAAGAAAATTTGGTTATTTCTGTGCAAAACAAAGACAAAAAAATCCTCTCCTTCCAGCCCTCCCAAACTCAATCATATAGACAACCTGCCCAGGTAGGAAGCCATGAAGTTTTGTGGCTTCAGCATAGGAGGGATTGGGGGCGGGGAGTTGTACAAATCCAGCCCTCAGCTAAAGCAAATAATAATGGCTGGAAGCTTAAAATAGATCCAGGGAGGAGCTCATTAACTTAGCATAGGAAGCAGTTCAATATCTCTGGCATTTCTCATTTTGGAAATTGCTTTGGTCCATTTTCCTTCTATTCGTTTGAACCAGAAAATACAGATCTTTTACTAACATATTCACCACATCTAATGATGAACTAATCTAGACTGGATGAAATAATTGTTCAACAGGAACACAGGACTTCAACCTCAGTTCAGAAAATCCCTGACATCTGACGTAGGAGGATTTATAGGTTTAGTGGAAATTGCTTTCTCCTGCTCTCCAGATTACATACTGTGGGTTGATTTTTTTTTTTTTGCATGAGTAAACATCCTTGGAATAATGAACAGACCAATAATGTCTTAAGAGAGAAAAAAGAACATCCTTTTCCTTTTTGCTGTTTCTTGAGAGAACCATTTGGATTTGGAAACCCATGTTGGCTGTCCAGAATATGAAAGTTGGCGTCTTCCTTTTGTGGTGGGGATGGGTTTTGACCACTGAAGGCAGACAGCACTGGCAAGGAAGAGAAGCACACGAGATGTCTAAGAAAGGCAGGTGAGTGGACTCCTGGGGATAGAGCCTATGGTATTGTTCTGGAGTCATTTCCAGCATATCGTGTTTTATGTGGATGCCTTTCCCCACCTTTTCCTTTTGTTCCCCTCCTCCCTCTCTTTTAGGAAGTTAGAATTATGCTGTTGTTTTTTAATGATGCCAGATCAGATATACTGTTATTACTGCATATTCCTAAATCTCTTATGAATCATCCTAGGGGAAAGATAGACTCTGGAAAAAAGAATACATGCACCTTGTTTCAAAAAATTAAGGGCAAAAAAAAATTAAGGGCAATTATTTGATGTCTGCATTCTACGTTGGAATAAATCTGCAAATTCTCAAATAACTAAAGGGGTCTCTAATTAGTGAGAATGATCTTGTTAGTTCTAACTATTTCTGCTAGATTTGTGGGTCCCTTTTAACATCTTTTAAAGAAAACCAGGCAGCTTTCTTCAAGCTGTATGGCTAGACAGATCATTAGATTGTCCCCTACTAATAAATGGGGGAGGGAGGTGCAGGGATAGACCTGCCTGCAGACTTGCTGCTCACTCATCGTCAACGGTACATGCTGCCCTCCCGGGACTAGCATCTGAGGCAGCAGCTTAGACAGAGGCCCCTTTGGCACCTGTACCCACTCAAGCAGCTCTGATGGCAGCACTGGTCTTTAAGTGCACATCTGCTTGCCCAACATTCATCAATAAAATAGCACAGTGGGAGGAAACCTGACCCATCTCTTTCTTTACTGATGAGGAAATAGAGGCAGTAAGGGCATTCTTGCCTCTCAGTTCTTTGTCAGCCTTAGGTCAAAATTAAGCTTCAAGTCTCTTTATCTCTGGATATAAATATGAATAGAGGTCAGAAATATCAATTAGTGTGAAAGGAAACCCAGTTTTCTGCAGGTCAGGGCTAGTGAGAGGGCTGGGTGGGTGGCTGACTCTTCAGTGTCCCCCTCCTGGAGTTGAGAGCCCTCCACACACGGGCTCACAAGCAGCCAGCTACGGCTCACAGCACTTGTTCCAGGTGCTTTAACGACATCACAAAACCAGGAGCTGAAATACCCGGGGATCATGGGAAGTCCTGGGCACTGAGACTGCCGTGTACAAGCCACATGCCCTGGTTCTGTCAGAGTCAGAAGTTGGTTGGGCAAACAGTGGAATCCGTGGAGCGGTACAGCCATAGAGATTATCTGGACCAAATGTGCTCATGAGGATTAAAAGCAACCACAACGACACACCCTATTGGTTGTCATCAGAAACTTCTCAGCCTCTCTCCTAAGCCAGAGTTGCAGTGGCAACCTATTGGTGAATACCAGGGATGAAGAGAAGTCCTAGAAAGTGAAATAGATTTTCTTTAAAAAATATTATTTGGGGGGCAGCATTGGTGGCTCAGCAGTTTAAGTGTCACCTTCAGCCCAGGGCGTGATCCTGGAGACCCAGGATGGAGTCCTACGTCAGGCTCCCTGCGTAGAGCCTGCTTCTCCCTCTGCCTGTGTCTTTGCCTCTCTGTCTCTGTGTGTGTGTGTGTCTCTCATGAATAAATAAATAAAAATCTTTTAAAAATTTTTAAAAATTAAAAAATATATTATTTGGGGGGCTGGGTGATGAGGTCAGTTAAGCACCTGATTCGGTTTTGGCTCGGGTTGTGATCTCAGGGTCATGGGAGCAACCCAGCAGGATGGAGCCCTATGTGGGAGCCTCTGTGCTCAGAGAGGAGTCTGCTTCAAGATTCTCTCTCTCTCCCTCTGCCTCTCCCCTTGGTTCTCTTTCTCTCTCAAATAAATTAATAAACAACCTTTAAAAAAATGTAAACATTATTTAAAATAACTTTCAATTTTTATTATGAAAGTCATATGTGACTATTACTTAACATTTTCTTTTTTTAAGATTTTTATTTATTTATTCATGATAGACATAGAGAGAGAGAGGCAGAGACACAGGCAGAGGGAGAAGCAGGCTCCATGCAGGAAGCCCGATGCGGGACTCCATCCCGGGACTCCAGGATCACACCCTGGGCCGAAGGAAGGTGCTAAACCACTGAGCCACCCAGGGATCTCCTACTTAACATTTCAAAAATGGGAAAGATGTTTTAAAAACACAAAAATCATTCATAATGAATGAACCCAGAACCCACAACTCATAATGAATGAACCCAAGCCCAGAAATTTATGAGTGTTAACATTGCTAGCATTTTTGTGTATTTTCTTTCAGCCTGTCTTTTCTTTTCTTTTTTTTTTTTTAAGATTTTATTTATTTATTCATGAGAGACAGAGAAGCAGAGACACAGGCAGAGGGAAAAGCAGGCTCCCTGTGGGAGCCCGATGTGGGACTTGATCCCAGGACCCCGGGATCACGACCTGAGCCAAAGGCAGATGCCCAATCCACTGAGCCACTCAGGTGCCCCCAGCCTTTAATTTCTAAGCACATACTGACTATTAACTAGTCTGAGATTATTCTATATATATAGTTACATTTGTAACCTTAAGGTATTGAATGATTTTGTCTGTATGTTTAATTATATAGTCTACATAATTATCATTTGAATGACTACATTATAATGTATAAAAATGCATGATTTATCACCATTTAAGCAGTTTCCTCTGTATTGTGGACTTTTAGTTACTTCCTTTGTTATTATAAATATTATGCACGATTATCTTTGTACATTAGGATTGTCTACAGACAGGATTTTCTTTTTTAAAATAAGCTCTATGCCCAACACGGGGCTTGAACCCACAACCCTGAGGTCAAGAGTCACATGCTCTACTCACTGAGCCATCTAGGCAATCCTACATATATGATTTTTAAATTTGGATAGACTCCTGGAAGTGTACTGGGTCAAATGGCACAAGAACTTTAAAGCTACAAATATATTTGGCCAAATTGCTTTCCAGAACGGTGGACCCAACTCCTATATCCGCCAGCCAGGTGGTTTTATTTTTATATAGCCTACATTCTTAAAGGGCTTACTTAATTTCATCCAGATTCTCAACTCTTAAATTGCTGGTTATTTGTATTCAGGTTTCTTTTCAATTTATACTAATGAAATGGGAAGCAAGGTGTGAGGGCAAGGCAAGTGAGATGCCTGCGGTGCAAGGTAGGTACTTTAAGGAGGCACTTGCATGGTCTGAGAATGGATGCCTCCTTAGGTTTTGTTCCTCACTTCCTCACTCTAGTCTCCACTCTGGCAAATAACTCAAGTGCTGTTTCCCAAGATCTCCATAGGAGGCACATCCAGGTGGGATCTTCCTCATAAATCATGCTTGGTAAATATGAGAATGCCACGGCACTGGGTAATGTTTCTAGAATGGGTCAATAGTTATTGTCTCTTCCTCCTCCCTGAAAGAATGGAGGCATAACCTACCTACACCACAGGCCATGGGGCAAATGCCAGCTCTTGCTCTGGGCAGGCAAACTGATCTATCAGAAGCCACAAGAATTGTTCTCATACTTGCTTTGGCATGCTAAAAAATTCAAGTTTATTCTGAAAGTAAAGTGGGTCTGAATAGCTAGTTTCAGCTGGTTTCCATTTTGGAGAGCTCACACTGGTGTCAGTATGGTAGAAGGATGGAAAGGGTGCTAGAGAGGAGACAGAAAAAGAAATCCAGAGCCTATGCCTTAACCCAGGTGAGAGGTAGTGAAAGCCTGAAATAGGATATTAGTGGAAAGAACAGTGCAGGGGTGGGGGTGGAGGAATGGATCTGAGAGCTTTAAAGAGCTAGAATCATCAGAATTAGACTGGATGGAAGACTAGCAGGTATTTGAATTGTGTGACCTGGTAGAGGGTGGTGCCAGGGAAAGGAGAGCAGGATGAGGAGCAGATTTGGGGCAAGAGGTGTTCATTATGAACACGTGGACCTGGATTTGCTTTCACAGATGCTAAGGGATAGCTGTCTAGTTGGAGGCCTATAGGTCTGCAGCTCATGAGGGAAATCGGGCTTGGAGATGTAGACTTTTTTTTTTAAGATTTTATTTATTTATTCATGAGAGACACAGAGGCAGAGACATAGGCAGAGGGGAGCCTGTTGTGGGACTCAATCCCAGGACCCCAGGATCACGACCTGAGCCAAAGGCAGACACTCAACCACTGAGCCACCCAGGCATCCTTGGAGATGTAGATCTTATAGGAGTACTCATAGGTGGTGGTGGATGAGGTGACCCAAAAACAGCATGTCACATGAAATAAGAATAGGATCAAGGAAGAATCTTACGGAAAAGCAACATTTAAGGAGAGGAAAGAAGAAACAAAAAAAAAAAAGAGAGGAAAGAGGAAGAAGCCTTGGTGAAGGATGCTGGAAAATGAGGGACCAGAGAAATAGCTGTGTGACTGGAATTGAGAGGTGTCATAGATGCCAAGAGAGCCATTTATTTAACAGTTGTCAAATGCTCCTTATAGGGCCAGCACCACACCCAGCGATGGGTGCTTCATCAATGACTAAATCAAATACAGCTTTTGCCCTCCAGAGGCTTACAGACTATGGAGGCATTCCAGCGAAGTGTCAAGGATTTCCAGAAGGAGGGAGAGAACAATAGGGTCAGATCACACAAAGATACAGCCGCTAAGATCCACTGAGGACCTCAGAGAAGAGTGGCAGTGTGTTGAAGAGTGGGATGGGTATAGGTAACTTAGACGAGAAATTCAGCTGTGAATGGAAAGGCTGCCAGTGATGAGCGTGAGACAGAGCCAGGTGGGTAAGAGTTCTCAGGCCAGAGGAGATGCAGCAGGTTCACATGCTGATGAGGGAAGGCGGGAGAAAGGCAATGATGATGATGATGATGATGATGATGATGATGATACATGAGATACTCACTGTCTAATCCCTGTCCTGACAAAGCACAAGCCAATGAATTATGGACTGGGTCTCTGTCCTAAATATCTTGGAATTTGATTTTCTCCTGAGTAAGTAGTGTTCTCTCTTCATCTTGTCCTTTCATTCTCCAGATAGTTTGCTTAAACCTTTGATTCTCCTCTTTGTGCTGCTGGGTCTTGTCCAGTTCTGACTAATG